GTGTTATTGGTTGAGATGCCCCTTTACAATCTATATTGGTGTTATCTATCATATAAGCAAAATACTTGATAGTTATTGAAACATTTGAATAAGATATTTGCATAGAGGTTTGTTAGTGAGCTTAGCTCGTGATCATGATATAAATGTTGTGCATTGTGATAGCCAAAGTACCATATATGTTACTAGGGATCACGTGTTTCATGAGAGGATAAAACACATTGATGTTAGGTATCATTTGATTCTAGATGTTATTGCTTTGGGTGATATTATTATGAAGAATATTTGTACTCGTAGAAAATCCAACTAATATATTGACAAATTCATTTTCGTTGTCCAAGTTTGCTTCGACTTGATTTCTATAAGCATCAACAACATGACTTAGCACCAAAAGGGTTGATGGAGAAGGTGGAGAGATTTGGTTGTTAAAGGAATTCAAGACAAAATAGAGATTTGTTATGATGTTATACGAATTCTAATCCTAATTGTATAAGGACTTGACAATGGAATCCTTATGGGCTTAGGATTGGCTTTAGCTAGCATTGAAAACCTTGTACAACTAGAATTGTTACTAATCCTCTGCTCATTAAGACTAAGACATATTCTCTATAAATATGTGCTTAGGTCTATTCTTTTAGAGAATCAAATTTTATGCTATTATGAGCTATTTTACTTTGGGTTTGGTTTTAAAGTTCTCCAAAACTATATTGATTTCTACTATAGTAAATTTTTTCCTCATAGCTTATGAAAGTAGGCATAACGAACCACATAAAACAACTATTTTTGGTGATTGTTACTTTTCTTTTTGTTGTGATATTCTCTATATTTATATGTGCGATCCTTAACAAATTGTTAGAAAGCTACTTATGTTTAGAGATTTGTATGAACCTTTGTGTTTGCATTAGGCCTTCAACCACGAGAGCTTATACACAATGATGGACACCAGCTCCAATCCAAAAGCCCTAGATAGCTTATCTCTCATTTTCCATTTTCTTTTAATATGATATTGTTACCACTCACATCCACACCTAACAAATATCTCCTTCACATATGAATCCGGCACATTTGAGCACAACTCTTTCTCTTAACACAAGTACTTCACAATTAGCTTAACTTTTTTTTTTTTTCACCAAACCATGGAGTAGCAAACAAAGACACATGAACCTAATTACAATCACGACTTGTCTGAAATCGAACCTTTAGCTTTGATATCAATTTGTTGGGGGAGATGCTTGTGTTTAGATAGAAGCATGGGCCTCTATGTTCGCATGGAACTTGTGAGCATGAGAGATTATACACAAGGATGGATACCACCTCCAATCAAAGAGCCTAAACTACTGAGTCGTGAATTTAGCCTATAGATAGTCACCTTTCTTTTCCCCTTCTTTTCAATATAAGATAATTATTACTCATATGTGCACCCAACACTGGTAAAAAGAAGGAAAAAAGAAAAAAAATATTGATGGTTGATTTTTAAAAACAGATGAATAATTTGTCCAAAAATTCGTCGAGGATATGATTGAGGTTATCGATCTACAAGTGACGTAGCTTTTAGCTATATTTTTCAAAGTTGATGTTGATGGTCAAGTCTTTCAAAATGATCAAGCTTGGTTTGTCATTACATCATAATAGTTTCTCTTGTTTTGGTGCTTGAAATATTATGAGCTCTAAGTTCTATTGCTTTTGGCACTTCGATAATTGCTAGGTATGAAAACTTTGGCCTGCTGACTACGAGATTAGCACATGTTAGTAAATCGTTGAATAGGTGCTGGAAGTTCTAGTCATCCAAGGATGTGTTTTTCTATAGACGCTTTTGGACTAATCTGGTCAGAATATAAAATGGTTCTTGGTATTGCAATTTGCTAGACGCAAACATTTTTTGAAAAAGACATCTGAAAGGTATATGCGTAAGAGGTACGTACAAGTGTTGGCCAAATACTATCCTCTGAGACTACATACAAGTATTTGCTTCACATAATCTTTTGACAAGAAGAAACTCTCATCTTTGACTGAATTATTAACGTTAATTAAGTTAAGAAGAACACAACTTGTGTGAGGTAGTTTTTTTTAGAAGATATCGAGTAACATTTTTTTTTTCAAGGAAAAAAAAAAAACGAACAGACACAACACTTAATGGGGGGAAAAAAATTTAGATGAGCTCTAACACTTCGGTAGGATACTTGAAAAACAGAAACAAAAAGAAAAGCAAACAAATTAATTAATTAATTAATTAGCAGCATGTATCACAAAAAATAAAATGAAGTAAATATATTTAATTAAGTCGTTCAGATAAATAGTGGTACTTTGTTCTTGGAGGTATTTAATTCATAAAAAACTAAAACAATAGCAACAATGAAGTGAGTTCAAATCTATCCAGACTGATCACACCAGAAAGAAAAAAATTAAAGATGATAAATAATAATTATTTTGATAAATGGCAATAATCTTATGAAGTATAAAAAGTGAACACATAAAAAATGATTTTTTTTAAATGATTGTCATGTTCTTTAAAACATTTATTCGTAAAGTTCATAATTTTAAAAGTATTAAAAATGGTTCATAATTTTAAATGATTTGTATAATTATACAAGTTATTTAAACCATAAGATAGAAATTCATTCATAAGTAAATATTCATCTATAAAAAGTATAAAATTTGATTCTTATAACTAATATTTCTAAAATTTATTTTTAAAATATTCGGTATTGTGAGTTTGTAATTTATCTTAACTACCATCAAGTAAGGTGCAACCCTTGAATGCAAAAAGGGCAAATATATATATATATATATATAACTTTCACTGTTGTGAAATAAAATATCCTTCTCATATTCTTTTTATTTTCTGGGCACCAGCCAACTTATGAGTATCATTTCGATTAAAAATTACGCTCGAATTGGTTTTATCTGATCTATATTTATTGAAAAAAATAATAATAATAATGTTACATGACATCGGTGATGTCAAAAAAAAATTCATCATGATTTTATAAAGATAATTTTTTTAAAAGATATAAAAAAGAGAAAAAAGTTAGATATTTTATTTAAATAAGTATTATGTTATTTAATTTTTTTACCTTTTAAATTTATTTTTAAAAATTTTATTTTTCAAAATAATCTCTGTAACATGATGTCCCAAACATTTAAAAAAAAAAAAAAAGAAGTCTCACACACCTTGCGCGAGGAAGATGATGACGACGGGTCCCAATCAGCAAGAACGAGGGAAAGAAAGCGGTAGAGTGACTCCCACGCGCCAAAGGTAATGTCGGCTAGGGTCAAAATGCCGGTGCCAGTAACGACACGTGTAAGCCTGATATTCCCATACCCTTTTTTGAATTTTTATATAAATAATTAAACAAACAGTGAAGTTTGAATGTTTGACTAAAAAGGAAACCAAAAACAGACTCTCTCTCTCTCTCTCCCTCTCTCTGTCTCTGACCTCGTGACTCACAGACTCTTTGCCTTTCATTCTTTATTTCTTTCTTTCTAGCAGCAGGAGGGGGAGAGGAGAGAGCATGTTACTTTGTAGTCTTCGCTGACTTTATCCCTGTCTGTCCCTCTCTCTTAACTCACGCGCCTTCTTTGCTCGTGCACCACACCCACACTTTTTAGCTATTAGCAATGTATGTAACTAATAATAATAACAAGAATAATTTTGTTATTAGCTGATCAGGGGGTTGTTGGATGGTTAAGATATTGATGCAAATAATAATGTTCAGATCTCAAATCATATTGTGTGAAATAAAGCTCATATATCTCTAACTCTAGTATAAATGGTTTATTTATATTGCTGCTGACCTTAATGTTAATTGAATAGTACATAAAAATTAGTCTCAAAATACTATGGATATATGGTCCAAAAAATATTTTATTTATTTATTTACTTTTTCTGTCTCAAAATAATATATATTTTTTTAAAAATATTTCTATTCAATAAAGAAAATCAACTCTTTATTCTCTTTTCTTCTATTTTTCACTAATAAAAAATTACTGTTTTTTTTATACTTTTTTCTTATACATATAAATATTTATAATATAAAAATTTCAAATGAAAATTTTTTATTACATAAAAATATTCATTTTTATAAGAACTTTATTGTATGTGGAAATTCTAAGAATATAATTTTTTCATTAGTATGTTAGTTTTTTTTATCATTATTTTAAGCTTTATTGGTTGTTAATTAATTTAATATTTTTATTTATTTATTTTCAAAGGACTATCTCAACTTAAAAATTTAATTTGTTATGTGATGTCCGTTATGTGAGATCTCAATATATGATTTATATTATTATCCGAAGCACCCTTCAAGTAAAATTTTTTTAGACTTAAAACTTATACAAACTCACACTATCTTAATAAAAAAACGTTTAATTTGTTAGAATTATATTCCAGAAGTTTTGTTTTTAATAAAAAAATCGGTACAACAAGGTTTCTTTGGTTAATAGATCCAACATGATAAACAATTAAACATACTCATTTTTTAATTATTTTCTTAATAAATCACTTAATCATAATTATTAATTAACTTTATCCATTAAGCTGGCTATCATGCACCAATATTATCCAATGTATGGAGTAGTTAAATGATTAGAAATTTAATATTGTTGTTGAAAAATCTTTGAAGACTTCGATCCGTAATTTTCTTTTTTGTCTTAAAAGGAAAAGAGTATAATATATATGTAATTAAGGGGCTGTGAAGGTAGACTAGGAATAGGGTCTAAATTGATAGAAGAGGGCGGTTTGTTGGATGGAAAATGTTTCCGTAAGAGAAGGCACCTGTTGCCCTTGTAATTGGAGGTAGTTTGTCAACCTTTCTTTATAGAAAGGTATCGGCAAGTCTCATTCAAACTCAATACTCTTTCTTTATATAATAGGAAAACTCAAACAAGTAAATGAACATATAAAGGAAAGAACAAAAAGTCTTAAGGCACAACCAGACCTAAAAACAAAACTCTCTTCTTCTTCTTTATCACTTCACCTTCATCTTCTTCTTTTTTGTTTATACATGTCTAATGAACATAGAGACTTTTACTACCACACTCCATTCCAAGAGGATCATCTTGCTACTAAGCCTTCTTCCATTCTTGGTTCATCAACTTATAACAGTAGTCCGGGCCAAGGGTATGATCCTTCTTCATACATGAGCTTTACTGAGTGCTTGCATGGGTCTGTGGACTATAATTCACTTGCAAAAGCCTTTGGCTTGTCACCTTCTGCTTCGTCTCAAGTGTTTTCTTCCATAGAAGGCAATTCAAAGCCAATAATGGAAGCTAGAGATTTAGGTGGTGGTAACAGTACCGAACAAATTCCTGCCACCCCTAATTCTTCAGCCTCTTTTTCTTCAAGTGAGGCTGGTGGTGATGAAGACTCAGGAAAGACCAGGAAAGAGACACAAACTGAAAGGGCAGATGAAGGAGGAGAATCGTCTGATAATAAGAAAGAGTAAGTTTTTGTTCATGTAATTGTTATATATACACACTTTATGAATCTAGGGCACTTTCTTAATTTTGACAATTAGAGATGGTGTAACTTTTATGGTAAATTGTGTATGCCAACAGAAAGGAAAAAAGAAAGCAGAGAAAAGGCAAAAAGAGCCACGATTTGCCTTCATGACCAAGAGCGAGGTCGATCATCTAGAAGATGGATATAGATGGAGAAAATATGGACAGAAGGCTGTCAAGAATAGTCCATATCCAAGGTATGCATGTCTCTAGTTTCTTGCACCCAAAGCACAACAAAGTAATATTAATTTAATTTGATCAGAAACCAAAATATTCTAAATATTTTGCACGCGTTGACGAAATGGTTTTGCTCTTAATTAATTAGATGATTCTCAAAATAAAGGTCAAAGAAAACAAAGAGTACAATATCAATTGTTTCATCCCTTCCAATATTTTCTTTTTCTAGCTTCAATTTCTTAAAATGAATTAGGAATATTACAGATTCAAAGGTTAATTTAAACAAATTCTTGAGAACATCCATTTTATGTTATTATTTTTTTAATTATCAGGAGCTATTACCGGTGCACAACTCAGAAATGCACAGTGAAGAAACGTGTAGAGAGGTCATTCCAGGATCCATCAATTGTGATTACAACGTATGAGGGCCAACATAACCATCCAATTCCAACAACCCTTAGAGGAAGTGCTTCAGCTATGTTTTCACATTCTATGCTAGCACCTGCATCGATCCCAACTGGGCCTAACTTCTCTCATCATCAACAGTATAATTTTGTTCAAATGCCTGTTGCCATTAGCAACCAAAATACTGGGGCATATCCACACAACGTTAATCAACATCTTCACCAGCAGTATCAAGTTCCTGACTATGGACTTTTGCAAGACATTGTCCCTTCCATGTTCCTTAGACAAGAGCCATGAGAAGTCTCTGTCTTACTGTACATGTGCTTTAATAATTTTACCTTCCTGACTTGTTAGGTAATACTTCTTTTCTTCTTCATATCTTAATACCTACTTCAAATAGTACTTGTTGGAAGTGGACATGCCTTCCCTTAGATTAAAGGTCTTTTTTGCTTGGGAAATGCTTTCATAATCCAAGAAGATCATGAGTCTATAGCTAGGTCGGTACGTCGCAGTGGTTTTTCAAAAACCTAGCGCTAGAAGGATTGCACCCTTATTATTCTCCAAATGCAGTTCACTGCTCCTTTTATTATTATTATTATTGTATGGAGGTGTAATGTTCTTTTAAGAATGAAACAATTTCTTCTTCTTCTTCATCTTCTTCATCTTCTTCTATTATATCTCAATTGAATAATTTAAGACATAAAATCGTGTTATCGTATTGATGGGATATCTTTATCTAGAGAGTTAATTATTACTCAGTCCTTATAGTTTATTATAACTAATTAATTAGTCCTTGAAAGTAGAAAAAATATATAATTAAACAATCTCTTACTCAAAATTGATCATATTCCTCGATTTAGTTTTTTTTTTTTCCTTTATAAATACCTCCTTTTTTTCTAATCAAAGTTTCTCATATATCTTCCCTACTTGTTTAATCAAAAAATAAAAATAATTGAAAAAAAAACATGAAATTGATCATGGAAGGGCTGAATTAATTATAAACGGATTGAAAATATTGGAATTAAATATACATTTTCTAAAGCTAAAGGATTAATCAATTCATTTTGTAAGCTACATGGACTAAGTTATAATTAACTGTTTTATGACCTGTTGGCATGGGATGGGGTTCTGCATCCTGATGTATCTCTTGCGATAAACTTGAGACGTTCTGTAAAAGAAAATTTGCTATATATGTTTTTCAATACAATACCTATGCAACAATTTTTCTATCCAACGGCAATGCTTTTAGTTTACACCAAGGGGATTGTAGGTGTCACTGATGGATTAATGACCATGTTTTTAGGATTTCAAGTAATTCTGCATGCTTCTTTTTATTTTATTTTTTTTATTTTTGATGAATTTCAAGTAATTCTGCTAGGTTGCCTGAAATCTGATTAGTGTCTAAAAACGATTTGAGATATGAAGCATTATTGTGACAAACAGCGGTCAGCTTGGAATTTGATGTTGAATGGACACTACATACATGTGGGGTTTATGTCCTCCAATCTGATGAGTAAACAAAATGCAGGAAAATTTGACTGCCTCTTTAGGTAGCGACAGTTGAATTTTGAGGTTGGAATAAAAAGCAAGGGGAAAAGTTTGTACCTCTAGGCTCGTAAGAATATCTGCTTACGCAACATGTGCTACACGTATCTTGACCGGAAAAAATGGCCATAGAATCTATATAAACACATTTGTACGGATTAAAAAATAGCATTATATATTGCTATTCTCATCTCTGGAGAGTTATGTTAAAAAATAATATAAAATTATTTTTAAGTAATATAAATCATATTTTAAAATTTTACATTAACAACTTAATTTATTGAGTGAAATTTTAAAAAATGATTTATATTACTTAAAAATAATTTTATATTATTTTTTAATAAATAAAAAATACTAGCCATCAAAAAGTACATAGTGAGAAAATATGAGTAATTACATGATTTTGCTAATTATTATTATTATTTATTTGGAATTGTAACTGGAAACATATATAATTTTATTTAATTAAACATGGGTGGTTAGTTGGGTTAAATGTGGAGTGCAGTCTCACATGGTTAATGGAGCTAAATTAAGAATATATGACGTCCATGTGAACAACGTTTTGGTTGAAATTCTTGATCATTATGTCACTTCGTTTTATTTCAATATTCCTTATAGAGTTAAGCATAAGCAATCACAGAATTGGTCCACGTACATAGAGAAGAGAATTAAGGTATTCTTTGTTATATGTATATAATTTGTCTCATGCATGGAAGAAAGAATTACGTACGGTGTCATTTTTTATTTACATGTTTATGGAATAAAGGGTCGCTGAATTAATGTGTTAATATAATTAATAATAAAATCATACGTATGCAAAGATATTTATAATCATGCCCCACAAAAAAATCTAAGAATTTTATACCAAAGAAGTTAATTATTTAGGAAGTTTCGTCAGAATAGATTTACTAACTTTTTATAAGATTATTCTACAACATACTATGAGTGTGTGAAATATCCACTGGCCATCAAGTGATTATATATCTTATAATTGAAAATTGAAAGTTAGAATATGTTTTGAGTCATTATCAAATTAACCTAACACGCTCTAAATTCATAAAGACGAAAACAACATGTGGTTCATTGCTGTTTGTCACTAAAACGACATTTTTTTTTCTCAAACAAAATATATGAATTTTGTAATATTTTTTTTATCTTAATTTTTTTTTTAAATTACATATCCAAAACTTTTAATAGAATTAGTCTATTAAGATTTCAATCCATGACTTTTTTTTTATAAGAGACCACCACCACCGATCTACAAACTCTTTGATAATTTTATAGTATTTTTCATTTCAGTCTCAAAACGTAAAATTTATTCACGAGAGGTCCCTATAGGCTTATATCATAATATCATGGCTAGGGATACACGCTCAACCCGGATGATGGCCAAGGTTTCTAGTCCAAAGAACTAGCAATTAAGTGAAGATTTCGAGTTTTTGTTTTTTAATCTCGGTTTATTTAATACGTACGATCCCTAACTCTTTGATAATTTTGTAATATTTTTCATTTTAGTCTAAAAAACGTAAAATTTATTCACGAGAGGTCCCTATAGGCTTATATCATAATTTCATGGTCGGGGATACACGCTCAACCCGTACGATGGCCAAGGTTTCTAGTCCCAAGAACTAGCAATTAAGTGAAGATTTTAGAGTTTTTGTTTTTTAATCTCGGTTTATTTAATAGTACGATCCCGAGAATATATATATATATTAGCCTCTTCAATCATTTTCTCCTTCAACTTTTGGAAAATTAATTTCTAATACAATGCATCCTAATAAGATAACTAACATATTATTTTTAGGTTTTCCAATAAATATATGTTTTGATATGTTTTGTCCGATCCATAATTTTTCAATTTATCCAATATTGATCCTTAGATGAGTACATATTTTTTAGCAAGAAAAATTTGGCAAAAGCCTTTAAAAGAGGAATTTGAATTCTCTTGTGTTCTCTTAGGAACATGACTCATCATTTTTCAAATCAAACTATTGATTTTGCATTACAAAAAAATTTAGAATTTCGAATGCTCTTTAGCAATGGTTTAGAAAAACTTCGTTAAAGTGAAAGAACTCCCGACGGTCTAAATAGACTTGCGAATTTCATTTTATTTTGGATATTTAGCGACGGTTTTGAAAACCATCTCTAAAAACATGCAAATACGCGACGGTTTTGTAAAACCCTCACAAAAATGGTCGGTTTAGAGATGATCCGATAAGACCATTGTGAATCGAACTATTTTTTGTATTTATAGCGACAATTTCTCAAAATCATCGTTAAATAACCATTTTGGAAAAATTAGCGACGATTTTAGTAGACCGTCGTTAAATAACCCTCACAATGCTAAAGGATATTTTGGGAGAAATTAGTGACAATCGGCTTAAAGCCATCGCTAAAAAGCAAAATTTACGACTATTTTGGCAAATTGTCGTTAAATACCCCCAAAATCCTAATGGTTACTTTATGGCTATCTAGCGAAGGTTTGGTTAAAAATGCCACTAAAAGGAAAATTTAGTTATGGTTTAGAGACCGTTGCTAAAGTCCTAACGGATATTTCTAAAATATCAATGGGTTTTAGTGACGGTTTATCAAAATCGTTGCTAAATTCCCTTTAAAATGGGGTTTTTAGTTATGATTTTTGGGCGGCCGTAGCTAATTTTCTTCATTTTTGGTTGACTTTACCGATGATTTAACAAGATTGTCACTAAACAACGAAAACAAGAGGGAAATACAAAAATTTTGAAAAAACAAAAGGCTTATTGATGGTTTAGTGACTCTTTAAAAACTGTTGCCAAATGCTAAATCCCTAAATTAGTGGCGGACATCCTTTTTTCTCCATTTCCCCCATTTTCTTCTCTTCTCGTTTTCTTCTTCTTCACCGATTCTCTTCCCTTTCAAATCCTCCATTGACACCATCAATCCCTCCAAAAGCCCATTCCCTCCTCTTTTCTTCGTTTTCCCCTCCATTTTCTTCTTTTATCTTTTCTTTCCTTCTCCTTTTCCATTCCCTCTTCTTCTCCATGGGTCGACTAGTTGCTCCTCCCTTCTCTCCTCCTCCATTTGTGGTCGGGTTCCCAACTAAATCATTATGAGTTCTTGGTTTTTTCTTATGATTTTATTTTTTGCCTTAATTTGTCGGTTTATAAACTAATTTTTTTCCTTTGATTTTGAAATCACTACAAAAATAATTGTAGTTTGTGATGGGATATTAACGATGGTTAGGAAAAAAACAGTTATTTGTGAGGAGTTTAGTGAGGATTTTTAAAACTCGTCGTTATTTCGATCAAATCTAACCAATTTTTACAATGATTTTTTTTGCAAACCGTCGCAAATTGACACAAAATTAGGGATAATTATGAAAATCGTCACTAATTTTTATTTTTATATTTTTGCTTTGTAAGGAAGTCGTGATGGTTTTTTCCTAAAAATCGTCATAAAATTCTAAAATTAGCAACAGCTTTTTCGACAGTTTTAAAAAATGTCTCTAAATTTTGACTCTTAGGGGAAATTGATTATTTTGAATTTTTGGGTATAATTAGCGACGGTTAAGTTTTTTTTTTTTTTTTTTTTTTGCTTTGTAAGGAAGTTGTGATGGTTTTTTCGAAAACAATTATTGCAAATATACCAAAATTAGCGATGGTTTTGAAAACCGTCGCTAAAGTTTGACTCGTTGGGGAAAATGACTATTTTGAATTTTTGGGTAAAATTAGCGACAATTTAAAAATCATCGCTAAATTTTAATTTTTTTTATT